CTTCCCATCCCTGCCACACATCCCCAGATACCTTACTCCTGTACTCTCTCCCCATCCCTGCCACACACATCCCCAGATACCTTACTCCTGTACTCTCTTCCCATCCCTGCCACACATCCCCAGATACCTTACTCCACTCTCTTCCCATCCCTGCCACACATCCCCAGATACCTACTCCTGTACTCTTTCCCATCCATGCCACACATCCCCAGATACCTACTCCTCTCTCTTCCATCCCCGCCACACATCCCCAGATACCTACTCCTGTGCCTTCTTCCCATCCTGCCACATCCCAGATACCTACTCCTGTATTTCCATCCCTGCCACACATCCCCAGATACCTTACTCCTGTACTCTCTTCCCATCCCTGCCACACATCCCCAGATACCTTACTCCTGTACTCTCTCTTCCCATCCTGCCACACATCCCCAGATACCATCTCTGTACTCTCCCATCCCCGCCACAATCCCCAGATACCTTACTCCTGTACTCTCTTTCCCATCCCGCCAACATCCCCAGATACCTTACTCCTGTACTCTTCCCCATCCCTGCCACACATCCCCAGATACCTTACTCCTGTACTCTCTTCCCATCCCTGCCACATCCCCAGATACCCCTTTCCTGTACTCTTCCCATCCCTGCCACACATCCCCAGATACTTCACTTCCTGTACTCTTCCCATCCCTGCCACACATCCCCAGATACCTTACTCCTGTACTCTCTCTTCCCATCCTGCCACACATCCCCAGATACCTTACTCCTGTACTCTCTTCCCATCCCGCCACATCCCCAGATACCTTACTCCTGTACTCTCTTCCCATCCCCGCCACACATCCCCAGATACCTTACTCCTATACTCTCTTCCCATCCCCTGCCACACATCCCCAGATACCTTACTCCTGTACTCTCTTTCCCATCCCTGCCACACATCCCCAGATACCTTACCCTATACTCTTCCCATCCTGCACATCCCCAGATACCTTCTCTCTTCATCCTGCACATCCCAGATACCTTCCTGTACTCTCTTCCCATCCCTGCACACATCCCAGATACCTTACTCCTGTACTCTCTTCCCATCCCTGCACACATCCCCAGATACCTTACTCCTATACTCTCTCTTCCCATCCCTGCACACATCCCCAGATACCTTACTCCTGTACTTCTTCCCATCCCTGCCACACATCCCCAGATACCTTACTCCTGTACTCTTCTTCCCATCCCCACATCCCCAGATACCTTACTCCTGTCTCTCTTCCCATCCCTGCCACACATCCCCAGATACCTTACCTTTACTCTCTTCCCATCCTGCCACATCCCCAGATACCTTTTCTCTCTCTTCCCATCCCTGCCACACATCCCCAGATACTTCTTCTGTACTCTCTTCCCATCCCTGCCACAATCCCCAGATACTTACTCCTGTACTCTCTTCCCATCCCTGCCACACATCCCCAGATACCTTACTCCTGTACCTCTTCCCATCCCCGCCACACACATCCCCAGATACCTTACTCCTGTACTCTCTCTTCCCATCCCTGCCACACATCCCCAGATACCTTACTCCTGTACTTCTCTTCCCATCCCTGCCACACATCCCCAGATACCTTACCCTGTACTCTCTTCCCATCCCTGCCACACATCCCCAGATACCTTACTTCCTGTATTTCCCATCCCTGCCACATCCCCAGATACCTACTCCTGTACTCTTCCCATCCCCTGCCACACATCCCCAGATACCTTACTCCTGTACTCTCTTCCCATCCCTGCCACACATCCCCAGATACCTTACTCCTGTACTCTTCCCATCCCTGCCACACATCCCCAGATACCCACTCTGTACTCTCTCTCCCATCCCTGCCACACATCCCCAGATACCTTACTCCTGTACTCTCTCTTCCCATCCCTGCCACACATCCCCAGATACCTTACTCCCACTCTCTTCCCATCCCTGCCACACATCCCCAGATACCTTACTCCTGTACCTCTTCCCATCCCTGCCACACATCCCCAGATACCTACTCCTGTATTTCTCTTCCCATCCCTACACATCCCCAGATACCTTACTCCTGTACTCTCTTCCCATCCCTGCCACACATCCCCAGATACCTTACTCCTGTACTCTCTTCCCATCCTTGCCACACATCCCCAGATACCTTACTCTGTACTCTCTTCCCATCCCTGCCACACATCCCCAGATACCTTACTCCTGTACTTCCTCTTCCCATCCCTGCCACACATCCCCAGATACCTTACTCCTGTACTCTCTTCCATCCCTGCCACATCCCCAGATACCTACTCCTGTACTCTTCCCATCCCTGCCACACATCCCCAGATACCTTACTCCTACTCTTCCCATCCTGCAAATCCCCAGATACCTACTCCTGTACTTCTTTCCATCCCTGCACATCCCCAGATACCTTACTCCTTTTCTTCCCATCCCTGCCACACATCCCCAGATACCTTACAGCTCACCACCTGTTAATAATCCCATCCCATAGTCTAAGAAGTTATATATGGTATTATGTTAGTGTTTACAGATACATATTGGTGGGTGATGGGAAGTTATAGAAATATTATATGATAATTCACTGATGGTGTATAGAAAGGGATTACTGTAAATATAAACAAACACACACACACACACACACATGCACACAATTATACGATGGAGTATGTTGACATCGATGTCCCTACCCAGTATTATTTGAGAGAAGAATTCTTGTATACAATTTTCCCTCTCTCTCTCTCTCTCTCTCTCTCTCTCTTTCTTATATATATATATATATATATATATATATATATATATATATATATATATATATATATATATATATATATATATGTATATATCAAAGAAGTCTATCTGTCTGTTTGTTTATTTGTCTCTGTGTCTGCACGAATCTCGAAAATTTTTGCCGATCTGTGATGATGATGGTGTTATATGTAGATGATGGATGGTATGTAATGATGATGGATGTTGCTATATGTAGTGATGATGGATGCGTTATAGTTAGTGATGATGGATGGTGTTATATGTGGTGATGATGGATGGTGTTATATGTAATGATGATGGATGTTGCTATATGTAGTGATGATGGATGGTGTTATATGTGGTGATGATGGATGGTGTTATATGTAATGATGATGGATGTTGCTATATGTAGTGATGATGGATGGTGTTATATGTAGTGATGATGGATGGTGTTATAGTTAGTGATGATGGATGGTGTTATATGTGGTGATGATGGATGGTGTTATATGTAGTGATGATGAATGGTGTTATATGTAGTAATGATGGATGGTGTTATATGTAGTGGTGGTGGTGGTGACGGTGGTAGTGACAGTGGTAGTGGTGGTGATGGTGATAGCGGCATGTTTGTGGTGATAGTGGTGGTGGTGGTGGAGACTGGTTGATAGTAGTGGTAATGATGGTGGTGGTAATGATGATGGTGGTAGTAGTGGTGGTAGTGATGATGGTGGTAGTAGTGATGGTTGTGATGGTGGTGCTATATGTAGTGATGATGGATGGTGTTATATTTTAGTGATGATGGATGGTGTTTTATGTAGTGATGATGTATGTTGTTATATGTAGTGATGATGGATGGTGTTATATGTAGTGATGATGAATGGTGGTATATGTAGTGATGATGGTTGGTGTTATATGTAGTGATGATGGATGATGTTATATTTAGTGATGATGGGTGGTGTTATATGTAGTTATGATTAGACAATAAAATAATAATAGTTTAATGCTAAAAAAATATACTTTGCTGTACCGTTGTAGTAGTGAAAAACATGGTGGAACTTACATACACCGTTAATGAACTATTGATGGAAGAAGAAGTTTTGAGGACCGAACAGTGAGACAATGTGGAGCCACACGGAGGGTGGCGTCCTACCGTGGCCTAGTGGATGCGGCGATTCTGCTAATAATATACTATTATAACGTAGAAAACGTGTAGATGCTTCCCAACACGAGGAATACATCAGATGGTTGTTGATAATACACCCCATCATAATACCACATGGTACAACCTCCCTTCCCCTCCCCTCCCCCACATCACTTGAACCTCTCCACATCACAGAGGAACTGAAGATGCATCCGGCCAGCCGCTAACACACTCTTAGCAAGTCGTATTTTTTGCCACTCCAAGAGATTAGCTTGAGACACAATGTTGAGGAACAGCTCTTTTTACTCTGTTGTGGTGTGAAGGAGCGCCTCTGTCCGTTCGTTGCTACACTAATGCCTTTATAATGTGTGTGTGTGTGTGTGTGTGTGTGTGTGTGTTAAAGGAGTGAGTCACCTTCTAGATTACTTTAAGTGTAACAGCTCTAAGTGTTCCATTTATAATCGGCTCAGGAACAGAGCGAGTGTTATCATATATTCAGCGTGTTATCATTCATACAAAGATCGCGTTATTAGTCTTTCAAAGAGTGTTTTATTAGCCATTCAAAGAGTGTCATTAGCCATTAAAATACCGTGTTATTGCCCATTCAAAGAGTGTTATTACACATTCAAAAAGAGTGTTATTATCCCTTCAAAGAGCATGGCATTAGCCATTCAAACAGGTGTTATTATCCAATAAGTTACTGGTTATTTCGTTTGCCTGTGTAATCCCTTGTACTGACAGTCAATAACTGGAACATGTTCAAGTCTGTTTGTTGTTAATTTTCAGATGAGCATCATGAAGTTGAGCCAGCGAGACACACTAGGGAAATAGGATATACAGTATTGGGAGGTGTTGTGTGCAGCCGCTCGGTCAAGGCTTTTGTTCTAGTTTATCATCTCAATATTGCCATCAGGTTAAGGTTGATGATATGTTGTGTGGGACGGTGGTGGGGAAGGGAGGAGGTGTTGTCTGGGGAGAATGAGGTGGCTGATCTCCGCCTTTGTTTACACTCGCTGGAGGTGGTATTGGGGGGGAGGGGTGACTTGCCGCTCTAGACTCTTCCTAAAGACACTGCCATTACCCGATGTCTTACCTCTGATTTTTCCCTTGCAGAAGAATCCACGGCGGGGGTGGAGCCATGCGAGCTACCACGCCCACCTGTACTCCCTGACCACTCTCACACGCCCACATGACGCCCACTGGACCCCCTCCAGGCACCTCCCCAGGGCCGCCAACACCAAGCTTCCTCATCACGCCCACGCCGGGCGACACTCTCCCAGGTCCCTGTCCATTCACCAGCTGCTCCCGGGCATACGATGAGGGACTCTGGTGACGCCGGAGGGCCTGCGGGGGGTGGCAGGGGGTCTTTGGCCCCCCTGCTGCTGCCGCTGTGCCTCCTGTTGTTATTGCTGGCTCCCGCTGTGTCCGCCTGTCCCACCGCCTGCACCTGCGAGGCAGTGCCGCCCAGGAGGTCCTCCGCATTGTCCCGACGAAGTGTCTGGGCGGCCAAGACGGAAGTCCCGGCCGCCCACAACACCAACAACGTGACTCTGGTGTGTCGGGACGCAGGGCTGATGGCACCTCCTGACCTCGTCGCCCTCAACGGCCTCGACCCTGCCACCGTCAGCAAGATGTAAGTACTTTTTTTTTGGCTCATATTTTACCTCGTGTACAGTGACTGTGTCCGGCTTCCTGTCGGCTGCCCACATTGATACCTACTTCTGGAGACCCCTCAGTTGTGTAATTCCTTCCCACACATCCCCGTTACATATACCTCTCCCACATACTCCCATGACATATGCCCCTCCCACATACCCCTATTTCATATGCCCCTCCCACATACCCCCATGACATATGCCCCTCCCACATACTCCCATGACATATGCCCCTCCCACATACTCCCATTTCATATGCCCCTCCCACATACCCCCATGACATATGCCCCTCCCACATACTCCCGTGACATATGCCCCTACCATATACCCTCAAAGGTACATATTTTCCCACCATTATATACCCTTGTGAGCCGCCCTTTGTCTCCTCATTTTTATAGCCTCAGAAGCAAATGTATCAATATTGTTATTATTATTCACTCTGTATCTGTATTTTTCTTGCTAAATAGATTGTTTCAGTATCGACATCACATGAAAACAACATATTCCTAGTGTTCTACGGTCAGGTGTGCCCCTGTCTAGTGTGGAGAGGGATTTAAATCTCAGTGTACTGTAGATGTGTGTGAGTATTACAGTTTATGAAAGGGACTATTAAAGCACATGGATTTATTTTTCACTCATCAGTTTATTGTCTGCTAACGGGCATACATCCTCACTTATCTTTGATCTGATCTAAACCATCTATATATTCTCGCCAACCGGTGTGTGACGCTGGATTATTCTATCAGACTGCATCTCTATCGTCTAGTAAGATTAGTCAGTCGTATCCGGCTCGATTTACCTGCCAACATGCATTACTGGGTTATATCGTTGACGTTTCATGTCAGGAGCGGACTGTTTCACTCCCTGATCGTAGACTGACTCTGCCCTGAGTTAGACTATCCACTGCGTCGTGACACAGTTTAAAATGTGGCAGTCTGGCCACAACACAGCAACCTCACTAACTTGCCTATCACACATCCATTTACTCGAACTTGTGAGAATTATCGTGGGACGCTATTGGTTCTAGGCTGTCAATGTGTCTCCCCGTCCGTCCGTCTGTTAGTCGTGCCCTCATTTTGGAAGCTTCCCAGAAACAACCCATGTATTCACACAACAGGTCATGTAGTAGGGTGGACGAGGGGATTACTGAAAATGTTTAAAATGTAAACTGTTTTGGCGCTCAGCTTTGTATATATTCACTTAATGCTTGGGAAGAAACACGGAGCGAGCGAAACAACTTCACTTACTTACCTGAACTTAAAGGTGAACTTGATGAAGACGCCGGGATGTGTAAGACAATTCACTCCCAACAGACGATTAAATTGTTTAACCGAAATAACACTCGATGATTAAAACTCAGGGGAAGAGTTTGAGTGCAATAATCCTTTCAGTATAATATAAAACCTTACAAATAACATGACAGTAGGCACATACGAACACGTTAGTATGAGATGAAGATAATTCGAAACACATAATGCTAACAGAAATACAACAGCGAAACAGTGAAAAATGAATTATAATATGAGAACAACTGTGCCGTAATCATGATAATAACACGAGGAAAATATCATTATCCCCCATAACACTTGCAACTCATCACTGACATCATAACAATAACAGTGAAATCAGACAGGTTAGGTCAGGTCATTGCCCCACACTGCCTGGCTGGCCGCCGCTCGCTCACCCAATCGGCACGCAGAAAATTTACATAGAACGAGCAGGACGCTTAGAGTTATAATGACCTCCAAATACTGGACGGGTTTAGTGGGTCATGACTGCAGTTAACGGCAGACTGGTGGCCTGCTGACTGTTGACTGAGGTCCCAAACTTTCATTATCATATTTACAAATTAAACAGATAAAAATTATCAGCTAATTATAATGGTGATAAACGAAATGGTGATTTTTTTTTTCATTTTTATTTCAGAATGTTGACGGGATACATAAACTTATCGTTATTTATTTTCTCTTACGGTTTATGTTTAGATAAATAGGTCGAAGCAAACATATTTATTTTTGTAGCTATTAAATGTACAGAAATAAAGGAAACACATCATTTACTGGACATGTGTGGCTATAATGACCTTATATATAGTAAACATTACCGTATAACTGCTGGTATTTCGTGTAGGGTGTGACATACATACATACATACATACATACATACATACATACATTGCTGAATCACACATACATACATACATACATACATTGCTGAATCACATACATACATACATACATACATACATACATACATACATTGCTGAATCACACATACATACATACGTTACTAGATCACAAACATTTCACCTCCTGTATACTCCACCAGACGTGCGCCTCCGTTGATACAGTCTTCTCCCCCACGCCTTCCTCCTCCTCCTCATCTCATCTCATCTCCCTCTTGCAATCTCTCCTTCACGTCTATCCTATATCATATTACAGTGGCTCAGTGGTAAGATTATCTCTTCACGATCAGGAAACTATGGCTTCGACTCCCCTCACTAGACCTAATATATATCCGAGCTGGGATCGAACCCGGCTCTCCTTCCGCATGTGGTGTAAATGGGATGTCACTGAGCCATCCAAACAAAAACAAAAGTGGTTCGGTTGTAATAGTGAAGCCAATCGTTTAATACCAATATGGATAATAGGTGTATACCGTATGTGTAAATATCTCACACAAGCTACATTTGTTAAGATATTATTAAGGTGTACTGGTTATCCTCCTTATCTCTCTACCTCGTTTCTGTTCCATCATATATCTCTCATCCCGCCCTGAGCTATCCGCTGTACTATTCCTTTCAGCTCATCCCTCGTCGGCACCTACTATCATCCCTGTCTCTCGCCTCCCACCCCTAACACTCCTCCACCTCTCTCTCTCTCTCTCTCTCTCTCTCTCTCTCACAAACTTCACTCTTTAGAACAAATCCCATCCTGAAAAAAAAATAATACTCCCATTGAAATATTACGAAAACAGTCCACCAGAATGTATTGCATCAAGCTATATTTTTGTTTTCAATTTTTTTACGTAACTTTTATTATTCCTCGTGTTATGTAACTCAAGGGAGGGGAGAGGAAGAGAGGGGAGGTTGAAAAATAAGACCCCAATTTCTCGCCCAGAATCTCGAGTCCTTCCCCTCAGCCAGGCCCATATTTCAGGCTCCACCGACAAGCAATATTCTATCAAATTTGGTGCCGACACCCCCCCCCCCCCCCCATTCATAAAAGGCAAAATTGATGGTGTGTTTGGGAGAGGGACCCAGGACCCAGGCCTTAAAAAATTAGTGGTATGGTGACAGGCAGAGTGATGGTTGGCGATGGATCACCTTTATTGTGTTGGTCTTTTCTCTTATGTTGTTGGGAACTTTTTACTACCCGCGCCTGTAGAGCTCATGTCTTATTCCATGATGTTGGAAGCTTTTTGTTACTCGCTGGGAGCTGAAACAAACGCCAGTATAGGCTATCTTCTTCCTAATCTTGAAGCTTTATGATGTTGTGAGCTAATTTACTACACACGCTTGGAGAGCTTGTTGTTATGCCTCTTTCTTAACCTTTGTGATGTTAAAGCCTTACCACACATTAAGTTTTACGGTGTCGTGAGCTTACAACACATCACTAATGATTCGCGTCTATCATTATGCCAAACCCTTTGTGTTGTGAGTTTATACCACTGAAAGCCAGTTGTTGTAAGCCCAAATTCTTTAGGGTACGTCCCCTTTTAGTGTTTCGAGCTTACAACAAGACATCAGTCCTAGTTGTATCAGCAATATAAACTCTATGATTCAATTTTGTCGTAAGCATATAACAACCCACTGGTGTCTCAACCCAACCTGCACTACGACTTTCTCTATTGTTTGGGAACTTTCACAATCTCACTGAAAGTCTGTATCACTGAGCAGTGAAAGTCTGAATTTACTGCGCAATGAAAATATGTATTTACGAGGCGGAAAAATCTGTATTTACTACGCAATGAAAGTCGGGATTTAGTGGGCAGTGAAAGTCTGTATTAACTGCGCAATAGCTTTTTTTTCGTTCTGATTTTCGAGCTTGCTATCGTGTTATGCATACAGACAACTGAGACACGATAGAAAGCACCGTGTTGGAAGTGTCGGAACATGTGGGAGGCCGAACACAGGTGTGTGTTGTGTGTACCTGGGATGTGGTCGAACAGATTAAAACAACATTCCGTGAAATCTTCGCTTGAAGGAAAATGTAAACAAACAATAAAATAGACCTAAACAAGGGATAAAATAATAAATAAGGGTAAACAAATATATATTGCAATTGTCACCGTATAGGTAAGATGTAAAGAAGATATAAAGTATCATGTTAATAACGTAAAAAAATAAAGATGTGGAAGTTTTTTCGTATTTTTCCATTATGTATTAATTTTCTAAATGCATTTTAGAAGACTTTCACAACACACATTTTCTTCACGTTAAGATTACCACAACAGACTACTGAAGCCATCACAACACCTGGAGGACTTTCAGAACCGAAGAGGAATATTCAGCGGACATAAATATGGGGGAGGAATATTGAGGGGAATATCAAGGAGTAATACACAAACTAGGAAACGCGAAGGAGTTCACTACTGAGAAATATACCTATTGAAGATCGACATTCATCCTTTGTGTATAATATTCAATGAACGAGACGTGTATGCTACTAACTGATGCTGTAAAGAGATGTAAATTACTATATTATTATTATTTGTATACATTTATAACCACATTTCCTTTAGTACTGTCAACATATAGGAATTATTGTACAGTTGCGGACAAAATTCCCTGAACACTTGGTAGTATCTGGCATGTAAGTACTAACGGATCATTGGGTGAAGGAGATTGGAATTTTAGCCGCACACTTTGTTATTCACATTTGCGTGAGAGGTATTCAAGCACATTGTGTGTTTCGTTCTATACAGGGGAACTGATAAAGCTACTAAGTGCAAAAAAGTGGATACAATCTTAATATGT